TAAGTTACACACACACACACGAATGAATGCATGACTTGAATAATGAATAATAACACAAAAATATTTATAAAGCGTTATTAGAATAGTTGGTTTCTATAATGTTAGAATAATTGTCAGATTTGTGGTTTGATTCTTGTAGTAAACATTAATTTTAAACACTAATTTAAACATCAAATATTTCAAAATATAATTAAATAAATTTGGGGTGGGATGAAAAGTGAGTTATACAGATTGGCCCGTGCAACCCACGGGCCTAACCCGTAGAAATCGCTTATAGATCTAGGGTTTACTTTTTTCACATGTACAATACTAAAAATAATACAAGTGAAATAGATTACAATTACTTACAACTTATATGAACAATGTTGAGAAATCCATTCTTCCTCAATATAAATGAATTCACATACCTGAAATGGTCGAAATCGTCGTAAAATCTAGGGTTTGTTGTACCTATTTAAAACTAAAACTTATACCACTAAAATAGATAAAATTACCCAAAAAGGAAGGTATATGATGACGACATCGATTCGAGTTCTTTGCAAAAATGGAAGAATATGGTGAGAAACGAGTTAGAGATGAACTACGACAATGAGATTGATTGTGTTGTATATCTACACAAAAATGGTAGAAAATGAGCAAGGGTGAAACCACATTTGTAATAGACGAGGCTCTATAACAGTGAATGGAGCAACATGAGCAATTAATGGCCCATTTGAAAACTCAAAAAAATGACTTTCGAAAGTCATTTTCTAGATTTGGGGTTCGATTCTTATAGTAAACATTAATTTTAAACACTAATTCAAAATTCAAATACACAAAATATAATTAAATAAATTTGGGGTGGGGTGAAAAGTGAGTTATACGGGTTGGCCCGTGGGTTGCACGGGCCTAACCCGTAGAAATCGCTTATAGATCTAGGGTTTGCTTTTTTCACATGTGTAAGACTAACAATAATACAAGTTAAATAGAGTACAATTACTTAAAACATATATGAAAAATGATGAGAAATCCATTATTCCTCAAAGTAAATGAATTCACATACCTAAAATGGTAGAAATCGCCTGAAAATCTAGGGTTTGTTGTACCTGTTTAAGACTAAAACTTATACCACTAAAATAGATAAAATTACCCAAAAGTAAGGTGATTGATGACGGGATCGATTCGAGTTCTTTGCTAAAATAAAAGAATATGGTGAGAAGCGAATCAGATATGAACTACGACGACGAGATTGATTGTGTTGTATATCTACGCAAAAATGAAAGAAAATGAGCAAAGGCGAAACCATTTTATAATAGATGAGGCTCTATAACAGTGAATGGAGCAACATTAGCAATTAATGGTCCATTTGAAAACCCAAAAAATAACTTTCGAAAGTCATTTTCTAGATTTGGGGTTCTATTCTTGTAGTAAACATTAATTTTAAACACTAATTCAAACCTCAAATACACAAAATATATTTAAATATATTTGGGGTGGGGTGAAAAGTGGGTTATATGGATTGTCCCGTGGGTTGCACGTGCCAACCCGTATAACCCGCCTCCCACCATGGGTTAGACAGGTCGGGCCCAAAATGGGTTGTGTTGAAAAAATATATACCTGACCCGTAAAACGGACCCGTTTTGATGGCTCTAGCTCTTATAGTCTTCCTTGGTGGAAATGAATTCACTTACCTAAAATAGTAGAAATTGATTACAGATCTTGGGTTTGCTTTTTTCACATGTGCAAGACTAAAAATAATACAAGTGAAATAGAGTACAATTTCTTAAAACATATATGAACAATGATGAGAAATCCATTCTTCCTCAAACTAAATGAATTCACATACCTGAAATGGTCGAAACCGTCGAAAAATCTAGCATTTGTTGTACCTATTTAAGACTAAAACTTATACCACTAAAATAGATAAAATTACCCAAATGAAGGTGAATGATGACGAGATCGATTCGAGTTCTTTGGAAAAATGGAAGAATATGGTGAGAAGCGAGTCAGAGAATAACTATGACGACGATATTGATTGTGTTGCATATCTACGCAAAAATGAAAGAAAATGAGCAAGGGGGAAACCACATTGTAATATACGAGGCCCTATAACAGTGAATGGAGCAACATGGGCAATTAATGGTCCATTTGAAAATCCAAAAAAAATGACTTTCGTATACGGGCCAAACCGTATAACCGCCTTCCACCACAAGTTAGACAGGTCGGGCCTAAAATGGGTTGCGTTGAAAAAATGTCTACCCAGCCCGTAGAAAAAGGGATTGGGCCCAGTTTGACGACTCTAGCTCTTATAGTCTTTCTGGGTGGAAATGAATTCAGTTACCTAAAATAGTAGAAATTGCTTATAGATCTAGTGTTTGCTTTTTTAACATGTGCAAGACTAAAAATAATACAAGTGAAATAGAGTACAATTACTTAAAACATATATGAACAATGATGAGAAACCCATTCTTCCTCAAACTAAATGAATTCACATACCTGAAATGGTCAAAACTGTCGAAAAATCTAGGATTTGTTGTACCTATTTAAGACTAAAAGTTATACCACTAAAAGTTATTTTCCGGAAAATATTTTTCCAATTTCCAAAATATATCGTAAAAGTTCTGTTTGAACCAATTACAAGCTTAAGGTCTAAGTAATCATCTTGTACTCTAAGTAATCATTTTTTACAAAGATGTACAACATTTTGTAAGTGCACACCTTAAACCCCTAATCCCTAACCCTTAACCCCTAAAACCAACAAAATTGACCACACGGTGGATAACCAATGCACATCCCAACATCATATGATACACTGTACTAAGCGCACCAATGCACATCCCCAAACAAATATCCCAGTGACTAAAAAATCTCCAAATGCATAACCTCACACCAACAATGATACCCGATGCCCTCCAACCAATGCACAATCCATAGTCCTACGTTGCACCACATCTAGCGCCCAATGCATAGCTCAACAGCCTACGATGCACCATCCTCCTAAAATCATCGATTCATCAACATACCTAATAAAAAACATACTCCAAAAAAAAATGAGGACAAACATGAAGTCATGCCGAGTAGTCACAATCAGCACCGAAAAAAACAAAAGAATAATGAAGGAAAATGATCAAAAAAATTGCTAAAATCACGCAGCATAATCTATAAGGAAATCGCCTCCAAGGAAACTAGGTGGAAAAATACCTAAATTCCCCTAACATAAAAAATTAAAAAAAGGTTCAAAATACCTATTAAATCATATCAATAAGATATTGGCAAATGAAGAGCCCACATTAGAGCACCAGTTTTCATTTGGAGAGTGATTCTCATATGAGCCAGATCATAAATAAATAAATAAATAAATAAATAAATAAATAAATAAATAAATAAATAAATATATATATATATATATATATATATATATATATATATATATATATATATATATATATATATATATCAGTTCTCGTGCGGTTGGGTATCTCCCGTGCGGTTGTACAATTAAATATGACAATTGATCTTGTTTAAATCAACGTATAGGATTACCAAATTTAAAAAAAAAAAAAAAAAAAAAAACACACACAATGATAATTTGGTAATTTTTGCATCTAGGTCAAATTTAAGGTGTGTGGTTTTCCTTCTTCAGGTGTGTGGTTTTCCTTCTTAAGGTGCGTGGGTTGTATGCTTAAGGTGAGTAGTTGTTGAAGCTTAAGGTGCGTGATTTTTGTGTTTAATGTGCGTGATTTTTGTGCTTAAGGTGCGTGGTTTTTGTGTTTAAGGTGCATGGTTTGTGTGCTTAAGGTGAGTATTTGTTGAAACTTAAGGTGCGTGATTTTTCCTTCTTAAGGTGCGTTGTTTTTCTTCTTAAGGTGCGTGAGGAAAATACTTGGTGTACTCCCATTTTAAACTCCCAACTTGTACTCCCTCTCACATGCTCTTGATGTAGACATTTTTCTATGGACCCACATGATAGAAAATAACCAATCCTGGTTTGCCACCTCAGGGAGTATAAATGAGGGAGTAGAATTTTGGGAGTCTATGTAGTAGAACTCGGTGCGTGAATTGTTGGAAATTAAGGTGCATCATTTTAAAACCTTAGGTGCGTGGTTTTCCTTCAAGGTGCGTGATTTTTGTACTTAATGTGTGTGGTTTTTGTGCTTAAGGTGCGTGGTTTTTGTACTTAAGGTGCGTGAGTTGTGTTTAAGGTGACTAGTTGTTGAAACTTAAGGTGTGTGGTTTGTGTACTCAAGATGTGTCATTTTAATGCTTAAAGTTTGTCAACCGCACAACCGCATGGAAAGTTATACCCGCACCTGAACCATTTCCTATATATATACCCATGATTATATTTCATAGGCCTAAAAAATAACCACTCATGATGCTTTTAAAACGTCTCGTAGTTATTTTAAACTCGAGTTATTTAAAAAATTAAGACCGCAAGTGATTATTTTTAAAAACATGAATGGCCACAACTGGTAAACATTTTCCATGGAAAATGTTTTCTTCAAAGTGAAGGAAAATGTTAGTTTATGTTGTTTGGTTGGATGGAAAACATTTTCCATTGGAAAATGAATTCCTCAAAGTTGAGGAAAATGAATTCTTTGCAAAGGGGTGAGATTTTGTTTTTCACAAAGATTGGGAAGAAAAATAACATGAGTGTACCATTTTACCCTTATGAAAATTTCTTAATTACATAGACACCTATTTATTCATTTATCTTTTTAAGGGCTATTGGTCTTTATATTCATTATTCCTTATCTTTCTAAACTCAACCAAACAATGAAATTCATATTCTCAGTAATTTCATTTCCACCAACCAAACAATTAAATTTATTTTCCTGAAATTTATTTTCCATGGAATTTCAATTCCATTTCTCTTCAAATATTTTTCAGCGAACCAAACCAGCTATTAATAATTTGAGAGAACCGTATTTACTCTTTGTAGCAATTACGGAGTTCAGGAGTTGTAAGGGCTGTAGGTGTAATTAACAAAAGTGAGGGACGTGCAGGTTAATTAAACACGACAGACGCCGCACTTGCTCTCTGTGGCGGCGGCTGCTTCTGAAGTAAGTAAACTTCACAGTTCACAGAGCTCTTCCTTTCTTTCTTCTGTCAATGGAAATTCACAAGGTAAAGCTTCATACACTTTCTTCAATTCTTCCCTGCGCACAACTATTTTTGTTTTGACGAGGGGTTTATGCTACTATTTTTTCGTGTTTTATATGGAGAACTCGAGAATCTAAAACCCTTTTCCACGTTTCGCCGTGTGTGCAAAAGCTACTGGAGGAACGTTGACATTATTATTGGTGAAGAAGATGAATGTGATATTATATTATCAAGAAAATTTAAGTAATTTTAAGCGAAATGGATTGGAGGATGCCCTGTGTTAATTCCTCCCCCTGATTTCCTTATTGTAGAGCTGGATTTCATAGGCTTAAAAATGTGATAGTATTCAATTAGATGTCTTGGCTTTTTACAATGAAAATAGTAGATTTAACTTATCTGCAAAACAAGTTTAATGTTTGATTTTTGAAATAAGTTGCGTGGAAATATATAGCTATTTCACAAAGCATAGAGCCTTAGTCCATTTGTAGATGATTATCGCCTTCCTTGTCTCTTCTAATTACCTATAGGGATTCATAGGTTGTGTTTACTAATCAGTGAAAATCTCCCCTTTTTTTGGGGAAAGAAAAACAGAAATTTTTTTTATTTGAACATTTCTCCAACTTGAAAATTTGAGAATGGAGATGAAAAATTGGATAATTGAAGTAAACGGAGCTATAATCTACTATTTAAAAGTGAATAATCTATTAATCAATTGGTTTTAAACGCTAGTAGCATAAAAACAATGTTATTGTTTTCAAAATAATTTGAAGTTTTGAAGATTGTAATCTCTACCATATAGGGAAGGTGGACAGACTGGACACAAATTATGGGGATCCAAAAATAGAAAATGGACCACTGGAAGCAGATGGAGAGAGTAGAATAAACTTAGCAAGCACATGCAGTGATTGTATATAGTACAATAAATAAATATAGTGCCATAAGACTAAGAACACCGAGGACATGCTTTTCGAAATAGAACTGTGAGACATTTTCAGCTGTATTCTGCTCAGTTGAAAAGAACAGTGTACGTTTGAGTTTGTTCAGTTTGTTGGGTGGTTATATGGGTTGATTTTAAATTTTGTTTGGCTAAGGCACAGATAATGTGGTCTATAAAGTGTGAAACAGATTTACAACTTAGGCCTTTTTCAGAGGAAATTTTCAGGTTTTCACTTTGCAATGTTAAAATCCTGATTGTTCTTATGAAAAATTAATAAATAACCCTATGGTTAAGCTTCTGGAGACAACTTCCAACCGGAATTTCCATGTCTATGTAGTAATGGACTAATGGGTAATGAAAGATGTGGCTTCATAATCATAAAAGCACCTGACTTCCTCCTTGCGTTCAGTTAATTGCATATATTCCCCTCTGCAATAATATGCTAATTCAGTACACATGAAATCATGAATACAACATAGTTTCAATTTTTTTTTTTTGTTAATATTCAATTGATGAAATTTTCTTTTATTTATTGGTGCAGTGTTCATCTGATGATGGTGATGTTTCATTGAATCTGGAGCTTCCAACAAATGACCTCTGGTTCAAGAAAAAGAAGGTTGGAGTTTCTAAAGCATTCTATTATTCTTTCTGTTACTCTTATACCACACAGTCCTTTATTTGTCCGTAGTTTGCTTTAACATTTCCTTTTTCTGTTTATGATTATTTTTCATTCTTAGAAACTACTGGAGGACATGGGTTCTAATCCATTGGGACCTTTGCACGTACAAAGTTTTGCTACTGCTGATCAGCTAAAAACAGCATTCACTTTAATACTTCAACAAGCTAGAATCATAAACTTAGATGAGGTAAACCTCCCCCTCCCCCACTTTTTCTATAATCTTTGTGCTATTTGGACACCTCTAAAGTTGAAATAACTAAAGTATAGTGAATTAATAGCTTCCTTATTGTAGTGTTGTATGCTTATTGTTAGGCAGAGGTGGATTTAAAATATTTTCTGTGGTGTTGATGCAGTTACTGAAGTAAAATGGTGAAAGGTGGGGGTAGAGCAATGTTATCTTTTCTACTTATTTAAACTTGTAGAATTTACACACTTTTTAATAGCATTAGTTGGAGTTGAACTGCTTTTTCCATAGAAGCTGCAAATATGCACCTAGTTCCTCTTTCTATAAGCATATAGCCTTATTATATAGGAATAGTTTCTGCTTAAAACTTACAACTCTTATCTCTTGTAGTTGCTTCTTTATTATTATTGTTGTTTTTGTTGTTGTTGTAGTTAGCGTTGTTATTACTGTTACTGTTTTTGTTACTATTTTTGTTATTGTTATTATTATCCTTGAATGAAGCCATAACTAAGTGTCAACTTTATATTTTGACAATTCAATGTATTACACTGATCATAGAGTAATTCTGGTGTAGCTAGAGCTTTATTTTGGTGGTGATGATGCCAATAATCTGGTTGGTTTCAATAGTCCAAGGAATGAGCTAGAAGCTCTTCATTCAGTCCTTGCAGCCATTGATCAGGCATTTCCCAGCAGTAAAGATGCTAATGTGGTTGCATTGCAAGATCTACGCCAAAAAACTGTTGATTTGATCAGCGAATTCTCCAATAGAATCAAAGAGGACACTAAAATTTGTGCAGAGTGTACAATTGAAAAGGAAAACTCTTTGTTACAGTGGGCTGAAAGCAATGGTGTGAAGTCAAAGTTGAGGATAGCTTGTAAGTTTTTAGTCAGTCAAAATGTATTTCAATAGAAGATTAATCTCATACAAGTGATTCATATATCTTGCTGAGCATTTAGAAAGCTGTCTGAAAAACTAGGAGACTGTTTGATATGTAGATAGTTGCATTGTATTATGTTGGAATAGTTAGGCAAGTAAAAGAGAATGGAATATCCAACTGCACATTCCCCTTATTTGAAGGCAAACACAAGCACTTCCATGTATTATATTTTAGAATAAACTCTCTACTTCTCCTCCAGAGCGTAATAGTGAGGATTGAGGAAGCTATTTCAAAATGTTCTGATGTACTTGCAAACTTTAATCTGCAGATGTTGAAGGAGCTGGAAGAGGGGCCATAGCAACACAAGATCTGAAAGTTGGAGACATTGCACTGGAGGTCCCTATATCTGTTATCATTTCTGAGAACCTTGTACAGGAATCTGACATGGTATTTTCCCTTATTTTCCACTGTTTTTCTTGTTAAGCATATTTGCCTGTTTTCTGTTTTATTTATGTTAAACATGTATATTTCGATTTCCTAAAATATAGGCTGTTAACTAGGGGAAAGTTGACCCTGGATTCCAGGGACTTCATATTGCATTATTAAAAAAAGAAAAGGACAAATTTGTTGATTACTTTTAACTGCAGGCACTAGCCCTGGTGCTTGGATTTTCAAACACTCTAGAGACATTGATATTTAAGTACCTTGGCCACTTGGTGTGAAGTTTGATTTTCTTCTTTGGAGTGAACAATTATTAGATCTCCTGGACAAATAAATGATTTCATGCACTCAGTGAAGTCGGAATGGAATGGTTCAAACACATCATTTCACTTTCATAGTTCAAGTTAAACATTGTAGGAAACAGTCTACAGCCTTATGATGACTACTAAGATGATTGTTCAATAACTGGTTTTTTGCAGAGCTGTGCAGTTTCCTTTACAGTGTCATGTTTGTGAATCAATAGTATATTATTTAACTCCTTCAATCTCCTCTAAGCACATACTGTGTGTGGAATGATGAGTTCTTGAAATTCTTGATGATACCGTACTGTCCCACAATTTTGGTAAGTAGCGCTACTTTAACAGCCTCTTCTTCTTCTAGGGCAGTATTCTATTTTGAAAGTAGTTGATGGGATGTCTTCAGAAACAATGTTGTTGTTGTGGAGCATGAAGGAGAAGCACAACCGTCATTCAAAATTTAAGTTATATTTTGATACACTGCCTGAAGCATTCAATACAGGTTTGCCTTTGCTAATTTGCAAATCCCTTAAACTCAAAATTTTAATTAGTTTCTTGTGCTTCCTTCTGTAATCAATTTCACTTTTTCTTTTCTACTTTTAGTGTGTATAATATATAAATATTTCCATTTTGACCTATTACTAAAACACCTCTTGACTCAAAATTATTCTAGATAGAAATAGAAATCTTTGCTTTCTGTTCCATATTACTTTTTGTTTGCAGTTCTGAATATAAATGTAATTCAAGCTTTCATTTGTTGTCCACCAACATACACTCCTCCACAGAAGAACATAAAGAAACTGTTATTTAATTGTAAATGCCTGAAGAAATACAGAACTAAGTTCAACATTTTAAACCAAATTAAATAATTGAATGCATATTCTAATGATGGATTGGCATTTTACCACTATGAGCTGCTCAATTTTTATTTTAGTCAAGATGCCTTCTAGCAAACATTTGAAATAATGCTGATAATTTGAGGGCACAATAATGTGATCCTTTTTTTTTTCTTTTCCTATGTGATTTGCTAGAATACTTAAGCTTCACATTTGTATGACAGGTTTGAGTTTTGGTGTTGAAGCTATCATGACATTAGATGGTACATTGCTCTTAGAGGAGATAGTGCAAGCAAAAGAGGTCTCTATCTTTACACAAAAATGTCTCCTATATTTTGTTCTTATGCTTTATACTTATTGACTTACATGGAAAAACTTATTTCATTTATTCTAAAGGGGTATGAACGTTGATATTCATTGTTTTTGTTGAGCTTTGCCCATTATCAACCTAGATCCGTACTGAACCAGAGATATGGTCAAACTGTCTTTGTTTTCATGAACTGGCCTTATTATTATTATTGTTGTTGTTGTTGTTAACTGAAATTAGGATATTAATAAAAATTAATATTGAAAAGGACATTTGGAACTACTTCCACATTGGGGGCTTAGAGTGAAATTCCCCAGGGAGTGGGTTTTTTTCATGAGTTGGTGGGTGGAATTTATTATGTTGTTTATTTTTATCTCATATATCTACCTTTTTCATTTAAAACTGGTTGAGAGGGGGGAGGTATTTCTCATTTTCTGTTCTATATTTGTTATTAGAATAAAGAAACTACATAATCATTATTTGTTTGTCTTGAGGTTTTAACATTAGGACTAAATGCTTTCTTTTTGAACATCTTGTTGTGACATAATCTCAGTATTGTATGATTATACACTGTGCAGCACTTGAGGTTACAGTATGATGAGTTGTTTCCTGCACTTTGTAATGATCATCCTGATACCTTTCCTCCTGAGCTTTACACCTGGGAGCAGTTCTTATGGGCTTGTGAACTTTGGTACTCTAATAGCATGAAGATTATGTTTAGCGATCGAAAGCTAAGGACATGCTTGATTCCTATTGCTGGATTTCTTAATCATTCGGTCAGCACATTTACTTCCCTACCTACATTAAATTGCCTCTTTCATCTATCTAATAACACAATCAAATTTGTGGCACAATTTAATCCTCTAATTTCGAGAATCTCATGCAATTGTATTTTAGACACCTACCATTAAAAAGTTTATTTTCCTTTTCTTTTTTTTTTTTAATTTGTTTTGGGTGACGAGGGAAACTCGCAGTCACTACTCGGGGCCTGCCTTGTGACCCTAGTAGGCAAAGGACCACAAGGAGGTAAACCAGCCTAGGTTGTCCATAGCTGACCGGCTCAAACCAAGAAGGCCAATAGGCCACTCCCGCTGGGAGTCGAACTTGGAACCTTGTGGTTACAAGTCAATAGCTTGACCAACTTGGCTGGGGTTGTCCAAATTTTTATGTGGTTGGTGTGCACTGGGTAAACCCTGCCTTGTGACCCTAGCCGGCAAAGGACCACAAGGAGGTAAACCAGCCTAGGTTGCCCATAGCTGATCAGCTCAAACCAAGAAGGTCAGTAGGCCACTCTTGTTGGGAGTCGAACTTAGAACCTTGTGGTTACAAGTCAACAGTCGAATTTTTATGTGGGTGGGTGGGTTATGTCAGTATTTTATTGTTTGGTGTTACCTTATGTAGCTAATTAGTACCTATGTTAAAGAACTCGTTAGCTCATTTCCATAATTTTTCTTTGAATAGACATCTCCACACATCCTGCACTATGGCAAAGTAGATTCTACCACAAATACCATTAGGTTTCCTTTATCAAGACCATGCAGTACAGGAGAACAATGTTTTTTAAGCTATGGGAACTTCTCCAGTTCTCATCTGCTTACTTTCTACGGTTTCTTGCCACGGCTAGAAAATCCCTATGATGTTATTCCACTTGGTAAGTTTTGCTATTCTTCATACCTGTACGCTTGAAATAATGTCTTAAGTGCTTTACCATGTACCAAGTGTCTTATATTGCAGATATAGATACTGCCATGGATGAGGGTTTCGAGGATGCTGAACTTGCACCCGACTGGACATCACATATGGTAAGGGGTACATGGTTTTCAAAAAACCCTGGAGTCTTCCACTACAGGTTGCCATTTCCTTTACTGGATCATATGCGCAGAGCCCGGAATCCTTCGTTAAAAACAATAGCCCTGGTGATTTTTCTGCCACCTTTTTTCCCCTTCAATTTATGAATTCTCTTGGAGATCCCTCGACTTATGCTACAGTTAGTCAGAAAAATGATCTAGTTTCACAAAAATTTACTTGATTACATTAACATGCTATATTGGTTATAGACGCAAGAAAACTTGGAGATTGAACTGGAAATACTCGGAGATCTCTGCTCAACCTTTGAAGCAATGATGGAATCACTCGGGGATGCAGAAACCGATGACCAGTAAGTAAATAGCAGCATTTGTGAATGGTCTCACTTCATAAGAGATACGAACGCGATTGACCTAAACAAACATTTCTACTTTGACAGGGATAACGTGAGGTGGGACGTAAAGCTTGCTGTTGAATTTAAGAACCTACATCGAAGAATTGTCTCCTCCATTGTAAACTCGTGTAAAGGCGGCTGTGAATTGTTAGAATGTGAACTACAGAAATGTATGTCACAAGATTGATGTGGCCAAATGAGCTTGAGAAGTAGCAGTACTCTGTATCAGGCTAGTTCTATTCTTGAATCTTGATTTTATTTTCCAGTTAGTCAATCCTCTAACTTTTTTATTTGTTTTTTTTGTGAGGGTTTTAGAGTACTCTGCTGTTGAAGTTTTTATTGGCAAAATTTATACCATTGGGAAGTTTTGTTTGTTAAAATTTTTACCAATAGATGTGCGGTTTGATAAGTGTTAATTTTTTATATTCATAATTTGCTCATGAATTGACCTATTTTATCACAAATTAATTACATAAAAGTACATCAGATTCACATTGCTCATTAATTACTATAGTATGAAGTCAACAAAAACATAAAATTCAAGACATTTAATACTATAGGACTATTGTCTTATTTCAAGTGTTTGGTTCGGTTAACAAGGTAATGTTAAGTTTAGTATTATTATAAGGTTTATATATTTAAAAATTATATTAAAATTATTATTAAACACAAAAATTAAATTAAAAATACTAAAAAAATAAGTAATTAAAATGAGTTGATTTGGCTAATAAATATTCCGTAATAAATATGGCAGGTAAAATTGGGCAAAGTCAGTATCATTTTGTTTTTGTTTTATCAAAATTGATTCAAGTTATTTATAATTTAATATTTTAATATAGTTAATCAACATTTTGGTCTTTCAATTGTTTCTCAACTATCAATGTCTATAGTTTTCAATTTCAACCAATTTGATCCACGAATTGTTTAAAATTTTGTCAATTAAACCCTTTCAGGGACCAAAATGGTGATTTTTACATTTTTAAAATTTCGTCAATTTTGTCTCTGAAAGGGTTTAATTGATAAAAATTTAAACAATTCGGGAATCAAATTGGTTGAAATTGAAAAGTAGAGACTACATTAACAATTAGAAAATAATTGAGGGACTAAAATGTTTATTTTCCCTTTTTAATATTTAACTTTATAACATTTTCTCGGTTTTAGGATTCTGAACCTCCCGATTGTATTCGTTCGTTACTCGCATCTACAAATTAACAATAGTTTAGTATTTGTTGTAAAAAAAAAAAAGAAAAAAGAAACTCAAATTTTAAAATTATACAAAAATATTTAAAACACACACACAAAGATGGCTTGATTTAACAAACCAAAGAGGTATTAAAATACGGAGTAATTAGTTTTAAAAAGAAGAGCTACATAATAACATAATCTAAAAAGTATGGAATTCAACATTTCTCAACTGAATCAAATATTATAAAATAAAATAATTTAATAAAAGTGTAGTTTATAAAGATGCATTGCGTGCTAACAACATATATTCTGGAGTTAAAAGACATAAAACAACTTACAAATTCAGTACTGCCTAGCAGGAGCCATAATGAACAAAAAAACAAATAATAGTCAGATATAATCACTATTATACCCATAATGCAGACCATAAATCAAAGAAAACATTCCAAGCAGATAGTTACATGCATAATGTTGCAAACAAAAACATACCATGAGCAATATATTATCCTTTTCATATGTCAAGTCATTAAATCATTCAAGTAGCTTTTCTTAGGGAGAGATTAGGCATAGATGAGTTATTACCCGATTTGGTTCCTCGACTATTAAGATTTCACCACTTTGATACTTGATTTTCAAACTTGCTCAATTTCATTCCTCAACTATGCAATTGTTAATTAAAATGGTCTTAATCAGGACTTTATATAAATTTTATATAACATTTAATGCTAGGTGAAAGTAAGCATGGACGGAGCTACTATGGGGACAGTGGGGACAGCTGCCCCCACTCCCCCCACCCCTGGGGTGGGGTGGGGTGGGGGAGTGGGGGCAGCTGCCCCCATAGTAGCTCCGTCCATGCTCACTTTCACCTAGTCTACACACTCGTTCAGTGTTTCTTACAACAACCACCGCCACTATCTCGATTAAAATTATCAATTTCTTCCACCCACAATTATTTGTCTACTTATCCCCATTCCCCAAGGGCATCTATCGTGATGATTTTTAGGGATCGAAGTTTTTGCCTTTTTGACTAATTTAAAGAAGAAAGAATGTTTGAATTTATATGTAATGTTCAGGATCTTTGTCAAAAAAGGAAGTAGGGAGGCATGTGTTTGAGACACTTGCATGCTTAACAAGCGTTTGCTTTGCACACACTCATTAGGCACATGAAAGTGATCATTAATTGGCAATTACTATCCTTTTTTAAGATCTACTTGACACCAAAATGCTATAAAAATAAAAATAAATAAATAAAAGCCACCATTAAAATTGCTTTAATATTGCCTACATAAGTGTCCAATGTGAGGTCATCAAAGGTCAAACTAGGTGGAATAAAAAAAAAATTCAAAGAATTTCTTGGAGATTGTGGACGATCCTATAACCTTAGCTCGTGCTAAGATGTTAAAAAGTACTCTTAACATATTAGGGCATGAATTGAATTGGTTTCCACAAGGCCATGAATGAGTCTTGTGAAGGTTATTCAAAGCTGGTTAATTTAATTGAAGCTTTAAAAAAAAATCCAAACAATAAGAATATATTATTTAAATAAATAAGAAATTTGTCAAAGACCTTGTGTCCTAGTGGCACCAAATTGCTCTCTCATATGAGAGGTTTTGGGTTCGAGCCAAAAACTCAAAAACCCGTCAATGAATCAAAAAGCATTTTATTTTCAAGATCATTTCTAAATAAACTTCAAAACTTTCCAGAATCTTTTCAAGATATCCCCTAAAAATGGAGCTCATATTTATAGTTGTAAGTGAGTTATATGTTCAAAGTCTTTTGATATTATCTAATTAAAGAAATTAGATAATATCAATATTATTCAAAATGTGTTCAAATTCCAAATTTTTAGTGTCTACAAATGCCCCCTCAAGACTTGCTTATACACGCCACTTGAGAGTATATGTCACTCGAAAGTATGTATAGTAGTGCAAGGAAGTATCGACACTACAACTCATATCACTGCAGCTCATATGGCAATCACACTTAAAGATATAAGATTATTTCAACTCGTGCCAAGGGGTCTTGAGGTTATGAGGCAGTTTCAACTCGTGCCAATGAGGAAAAACATAAAGTTATGAGGCAGTTTCAAACTCTTTGGTATTTATCCAAAATCAATAAATACACGTTTAGGATAAATACTAACAATTATCCAAAACGAACCATGCTACTGCAGAATTGTGTCTAGGCAAATAACATAACCCAAAGTAATTTAATTAATTAATGTACAAACTCAAATAACTCAATTAAAATTCAGTCAAATATTATTAACACATTTAGTGTTGTCAAATTTTCAATGTCTATCGTTATTATCTAGTTATTATGTTGCTTTGATAAATGATTAATAAGACACTTTCATAAAAGTGAACCAAGTCCATGTCTTGAAGGGTTATCCAAGTTTATCTTCTTTAATTATTGTTCATACAATAGCAAAAATATCCAACAATTTAAAAGGTTTTATTTGAAGATGATGGATTTTACTTTGAAGGGTTTGGTTGCCAACTTTAAAAAATTGAACCGTTTTAAAGTGTTTTGCCTCTGGTTGAGTAGGAAGATGAATCCCTTGTATTGAAGGAAGTGATGAGTGATGATGATCTTGGTGTGAGCAAGTTAATTAGAATTTAGGGAGCTGTACCAGGACTATGTGGTCTAATGGTACCCGGGTTGGACTTTCATTTGGAAGGTTGTGAGTTCGAGCCTTAGTGGAGGCGTTATTGGTTCTTTGTATGAAAAAGTATATGAACAGATACTACAATGTAATAGAGCCAGTAGCATTCAAAAAAAAGAAAAGAATTTAGGAAAGTTGTTATGTAGAGGTGGATTAACAATTTAGTTCGATGGTTTTACTATTATAAATATGGTAATTAAATTCATCAATCAATGGTTTACACAGCCGTGTGGATCATACTATCAAACAATGTATATTACTCCGTATATTAATGAAAAATACATTATTTGAGTACTGAAAATACATTATTTTGTATAATATATATTTAGTACACGGATAAAGTACATTTAGTATATCAAAAATATATTTTTTGTTATGTTTCACACAATATTATGTGGATCATGGCCTACACAATAATTTGTGTAAAGGGGTAGAGATTCTGAATGCAAATTACTTCATCTATGCATTTGCAAGAATATTTTTCCTTTGATTACTTCATTAAAAACTATTACATTTTTATTAAAAAAATATTTTGTATTTGAAATTATTCACACATAACATACTCTTTCACTGGTTTTTGTGTTCCATTTTACCAAGGAATAAAATTGTTGGATAAATGAGGTGAGTCTATAGTCCACCATTCAACAATCATTATACTTTGGATCACAGACATATATATTAATTTTTAATAGGGAAAGTGATACTTTTATCTCATAAATTATAAATTTATAGTACTCTTTTTCCTTAATTATTCATGTATCCATATTTGTCCCTTCAATTATTTTAAAAGTGATCGTTTTTTCTCATTTGACATCAAATGAATATTTTTACCCTTAAAATAATTATTCCATTTATTTTTTTTTCTCCAACCAATTATTACTTATATGTAGGGATGATTACGGTTGGATTTGAACCAAATCGAACACTATAGCAACTGAACTGAAATAGTAGGGATTGTTCTTGTTACGATTCAGAACCGAATTTTTTTTTTTAATAATTATTGAATTTAGACTATTTTAAAAATAAAAAATAGAATTACAAAAATAAATAAATAAATAAATAATTTTTGAACCGGCGGTTTAAACTGCGAACTGGAACCGAACATATTTGTAAACACCTTTTGTAAATGATAAATCTGTTCATTTTCGTTTCGCATTTATTCTTATTCCAGTTTAAAAAATTTATTTGTTTATTTATTTATTTTTGTAAATTTTATTTTCTATTTTAAAATAGTCTAAATTCAATAATTTTTTTTTCCAGTTTTGAATTGTAACAAGAACCATTCCTACTGTTTCAATTCAGTTGCTATAGTCTCAGTTCGGTTCAAATAAAATCATGGTCATCCCTACATACATGTAATAACTTGTTAAAAGTGTAATTTTACCTTTTAATATGTTAAAATTTTATTTTTAATATATTAATGATTTATTTGTAATATACAATTAAAAAAATAAACTTATAAAACATTAGAAATAAATATTTATCCGTAGTTCCCATCGTCTGCAATATAATTTGTCACTGTTCATTAGT